ATATTCCTAGGATCAAGCTTTTGCAAGATCAGGTTAAAAGGAAAATAGGCTTATCTTAATAATCCTACATTGATAAAGCTTTGACCAGGTTTGGTATGCATAACTCAAAGAATGAGTTCTTGCTTTATTGATATGGATCGCTCTCTCTAGTAAGTAGTTTTTCAAGACTAGCAGAGGAGATTGAGTAAATGAGACTGGAACAATATGTTTCGGCATATGAGAGTCTCATATATGCCATGGTCTATACCAAACAGGACATCCGCTACATAGTAGGGATAGTCAGTAGAGATCAGTCCAATACTGGACTTGACAACTGGTCTATTGTGAAAAATATCATTAAGTACCTAAGGAGAATCAATGATATCATACTCATTTATGGATGTGATGATATGGTCCTAGTCATGTATGCTAGTTCTGATTTTCAATCAGAAGTAGATACTATGAGGTTCATGACTTAGTGTATGTTCACTTAATGGAAGGGAAATCAGTTGGTAGATTGTCAAGCAGATTTCAATTGTTGACTCAAACCTGCAGGTGGAATATATTGCAGCCTTAAAGGTGGCAATATAAGCCTATTGGTTTGATCTCACTGATTTAGAGGTTGTGGAGCATACTAGCCTGCCTATCGAGCTATATTGCGACAATAGTGCAGAAGTAGTCCAAACCAATGACCCAAGGTTCCATAGATGAACAAAATACACTGATAGGAAGTATCATGTTCTACATGATATTATCCGGCAAGAAAATGTACTTGTAGCTAGAACATTGCATTGGAACACAACTTTGTTGATCCATTATCAAAGGTGTGATTGATCAATAATTTTGATCATCATCTGGATAACATTGGAGTTAGGTGCAATTTGAATTGGCTATGAGGGCAAGTGGGAGCTGTTGGGATTTATATGCCCTGGCATAGCAAATTCCTATCTGGATTGTAGTGACATATGTTCCTGACATATCTGAAATATTTATGATTTATATAATTGGTGAATTCAATGTATTATGTTTCGATTCACTATGAAATTGATAGTATCCATGTAATTACAAGAAATATTTATATATATGTATGTGATGACAATCAATGCATGATATATAAATAGTAATTATAAATTGTTCATAGTCGGTAATTATGGATGGACTCATAATTAATTAAGACTTGAACTGGATCCGCGTTAGGTTGAGATATATTGCGAAAGCCGTCGTATGCAATTACTCCCTATCACCGTCATGGCATTTGACTCTTAAGCATGAGAAAAATATAGACTCTTTTATTAATTAATAATTACTTTGATTTGTTCGGCGGATTCTTCGGGATCCTTAGACCGACACTTTGGGTAGTTATGTAATTAATAGTTAGAGGGTTATATTTTCAATATTTGCATCATTGCTACTTGTATTTATTTTGTATTGATTATGGTTGATCACAAAGTAAATTCGAAGGCCTTCGTGTGTTTTTAGACAAAATGATTTATTATATATTTATTTATTTAAATTATTATTTTTGTCAAACAAATGTTTTATTGTGATCGAGCCAGAAATAATCAAAGGTACCAAAATAAATATATTAATTAAGTAGTCGGATTGATGGCTATATTTATCCGATAACTAATTATGCATAGAGGGGTCAAAGTGCAATATTGACTTAGAGGTTATTTATTATTTAATTGGAGTTCAATTAATTTCTTTTAGTGGAGTAGAAATTAATTTATGAATTAATTGAATTGGGTCCATGGACCGGGCCAATTATTAATTCATTGTAGCCAATAAAATAATAGGCCCAATGGATTCTCACTCATAGCCCAACTTGATATTGGAATCATATTAGATTTGAGACATATGAATTAGAGATGGAGAAGGATTTGTTGTTTCCTTTTCTTTATTTTTATGTTGCCTATAAATATACATGGTTTATGTATATTTTAGGTGGTGATTTTTATGAGAAGGAAAAAGGAATAAATTTTCTCTCTCTAGAAAATTAGGGTTTATGGTCTCATCTAATAGAGGCTCCCACAAGCCTAGTTTTCCAAGGTAATTCATGGAGGCTTATGAGTGATTCCTAAAGGCAAAATAATTACCAAGAAGATGGAGATCCAAGGAGAAGGCATCTTGCTAAGGGATCTACAATAAGTGAGAACATTCACTTTAGAGGAAAGTTTTAAAGGTTTACTCAGACCTTTGATGTAAGTATTCAATCCATTAATTGAATGATACTTCATATTTTTTTTTTGCATAAAACTTGTCTCTATGTGATGAATCAAGATCTATGAATTTAAATCCCTCGAAAAGTTTTTAAAACTAGCACGCTTCCTAACAAGAATGTGGTTTTGGAAGGGTTTAAAGAAGTATTTGTGGTGATAGAAGTGTGCAAGGGGAAGGGATGCTTTAAGGGGCGGAAGGGTGGTTCTTGGTGGATATTCCGTGAGTGGCGTCATGTCTTTCTGCACACCACAGTTACTGAGCTTACGGCAGAGATGAAGTTAGGCTTAAGAAGTAGTAATGGCTGTGAGAAGATGGTTATTTCATGGGTTGGAGATATGCAAGCATGGATGATGTTCTTAGATACTTGCAGCATTTTCTTTTTTAATTATTGTACATATATAACTATTGGATCTCAGAATTTGTTGCAGTGCTCGAGACACCTATCGGCTCATTTTGTTGCTTTTGTGTTGGGATTGTTTCCTTCTTCTATTATTTTATTTGGGACGTATTTAATGCATAATTGTTGTTTGTATTCATTAGAATATTAATTATTGGTTTTAAATACGTCATATTTTTATTTCAGGTTGCTTGTAGAGAAGGATGATACTTAAAGGATATACATAGTCTTTTTTTTTTTTTTTGATGAGACATTAAAAATTCTTTTATTTCCCTTGTTATTGAGACATAGCTACACTAATAAATGCATTGTAATTTTTTTTTCTTCTTGAATTTGTTGGGAATTGAGTTTATTTGGTTAGTAAATTTGGTTTGACCTTGATAATAATTAAGAACTTGAATTTTTTCTAAATTTGCTTCATTTAAATATATTGTTATAACCTTAAAAAAAAAAAAAAAGTGTCATTTTTCGCAATATTTATATTTGATGTCACATGTTTTTCATATGTGGGAGCTAATACAATTATTGTCATGCCTATCGCAATACTGTATATGACAACAAATACAAATGCTGCCACTTAGCTATGGCAGCATTTGTTTTATTTTATTTTATTTAATTTTAACAACAAATAAAATTACTGTTAGAAACATAAATTTATTTTTTATTTATGATCTCAAATTATATCGAGGGACAGTGACCAACTCATGTAATCCACTCGGATACAAATGGCGCAACTTGGATCTCTCATAAGAGCATGGATGCTCTAGATGGGCTGAATATCAGGATTCATTGACATATTATAGCATTTCTATTCTAAATATCTCAACTACTTGTAATAAATGTGATACGTTTTTTTTCCAAATATCTATTTTAAATGTTCCAGCTAATTGCAAAGGGGACTGGGTCTATGAAAACAAAGGACTGAATAGATGCTGAAGCATCCAGCACCGTTGGATGTTTCAAAGTCCCACTTTGACCGTCTGGATGCTTGGATTTCATTTTAGGCCCTCTGTTTTTGAATAATCAATTATTTAACTTTTATGTTATCGATTGCTAAGTTGGTCATTATGGTAGGGATTTAGTTGCTTTCGTATTAAATTAAGGACGTACGCTAATATCAATTCTTTTGAGTCCATATAATAATAATCTTTACATCCAAAAGTAAGTGTAAACCAAAAAAAATCTTAGACCCACTCTCTAAATCAACGGACACCCTTAGCTTGGAATAGTTTTTGAAAACTATTTTCTTTGAATAATCTGTTTAATACAATTGAGATGAACGGACGAAATTGCACTACTTTTTTAAATGAAAAAAATCAAATAAAAACACAATTGATCAATTGCCAATTACTGGGAAAAATAAATAGAAGTAGAGAAAAAAAAATAATAAACAATGTTGTCCTATATCCAAATGGAAGTATAGAATAAGAAAACATAGATGGGTCATGAATTTTTTTTTCTTTTCAGGTAAAATAATTTTTTTATTTTTGTTTTTTTTCGTGTTTGGCAAAGGTATAGGTTAAGGTTGGAATGAGTCCATCAGACAAGATGTATAAAATAATTTGTCGAAAAATAATGAGTAAGTTATTTTTGTTAAGTTTCAATATTTTTTTTCATAAATATTTTATGGCAATCAAATACCAAAAAAATATATAAATAATTTTTTAAAAATATTTTACATCCAAACAAACTGAGCCAATTCATTCATGCAATGACTGTGAAAGCTAGCTTCAACCATACACAATTTGTTTAAACCTTTCAATATTAATAATTTTTTCAAGTAACAATTAGGAAGTCCCTTTGTCTCCCTATTTTTTTGGAATCTCTCTTGCTTTTTGCGGAAAGGTTCTTTGAGCACAATGATTTCAGTTCCATTGTAAATGCCATGAATTCCGTGTTCCCTTGTCTACCTCCGAGCTTAGAGCGGCACACCAATTCGCAATGACTCTCACATCAGTTGGTAACAAAAATCGATTCTCAAATCTTGTTAGACTTCTTATTTCTTATAGAGTCACGTCTTTGAGTTGCAGAATTACGGGGAAAAGAATTATCAAGAGAGTTAAGAGTGGGCATCTAGAATCCTGGGAGACTTCCTTTAGTTAAGTCCTCTCTTTCTCTAGCATTCAAAGATATTGGTCTTATGTGTTGTGTTGCCAGAAAAGTTTATTGATCAGCTCAACATCCAAAAACATAAATAAATAAGTAAATAAATAAATTTAAATGTATAGCTGTCAAATACAAATTACCTAACATTGCATAATAAAGAAAACTTGTTTTGGGGATGATCTATGTGCCATTGCATAATATGCTGTTATTATTCCCTTATTTTTCAAAAAGATAATGATGATCTATCTTGATATAATTTTCTGATATATACATAAATATATATAGAGAGAGAGGTCCATACACAACCACATGATCCATTTACCACTCGTAAAAAAGAAAAGTACAGGGATAAGATACAAATTTCATGAGTAAGAAAAACACACAATCATACCCAAAACACCCCAACAGTAAATATATTTAATTTGAGGAGTTATCGCGTAATTGGACGTCCCATTTCACTCTCCAGATGCGAAGGTACAATTGAATTTTCTGATTCTGTCTCATGACGAGTTATCTCTATTGCCAAGCAGTCCCTTAATTCCGTCACCACAAAATTCATGTTTGGTCTTTGGGTGGAATTGCGAGATACGCAAGACATTGCTAATTCTACAGCTTTCCAAACAGAATTAACCTCGAAATCTCCCTGCAACCTGGGATCAACAATACTTTTGATATCCCCATTTGCAAGCTTAGAACTAACCCATTGGATTATGTGAATGTTGCCATGGCCTTCTAATATTGGTGGCCGACTTGTAATAATCTCCATGAGAACAATTCCGAAGCTATAAACATCACTTTTATCATTCAACCTATTTGATGTGCAATACCTGCAACTCAACACATTCAAAACATTTATATAAAATCTATCACCATGACACCATATACTAACAAAAATAACGCTTTCCAATTTGGACCCATTGTTTAGTCGGCGATCAATTTTTTTCTAAGAATGTGATCAACATTACTGAAGAAAATGTTTTCAAAAAGACTATTAATTGGTATGCTGTTAAAAAATAAACTCGTTTTGGATGAATGATTGAAACTTATGAGCCACGACTATAGTTCATGACAATTCTTGTGCCTAGCTAAAAATATCTCTAATCAATAAAAGTCCAGTTTTTTATATAATCAAGAGCTAGTTTTGAGAAATCAACTACAAGTAAAGATAAATTGTACTTAAAAAGAAAAAAAACTTACATGGGGTCAACGTAGCCAGGAGTGCCAGCAACACTTGTTGATATATGAGTACCACCTTCAGTTGGAAAAACTCTGGACAAACCAAAATCAGAAAGCTTGGCTTGGAATTTTTCATTCAATAAGATATTGGTAGTCTTTATATCTCTGTGGATTATTGGTGGCTTACAACCATGATGCAGATACTCCAGCCCTTCAATTGAAAGTCCAAATAAGTAATGGTTTTGCAATTATTACTAAAATAAAAATATGTGAAGTTGAGACCAAAAAAAAAATGTACTTCAATCTTCTTACTAACCTTGTGCTGCATCAGTGGCTATTCGGAGCCTCTCTTCCCAATTCAAAAAAGTTGAATTTCTATCTGCAACAATGAAATATATATCAATTTAAATAGGAAGTTCAACACAAGAAAATTGTCCAATGACATTTCGAAGGAGAAAATTTTATAGTTCTTGTAAAAGATTTGGTATCAGAAGGATGCATAGTTCTATTGGGGGTGTCTGAATGTTTATTTGAACTTTCGAAAAAAAAAAAAAAAAAAAAAAAAAAAAAACGTAAATAAATAGACGTGTATACCTATGAGATGCCTTCTTAAGTTTCCATTAACCATGTACTCATAGATGATTCCGATGTTGGTGCCTTCTTTGCAGTAGCCAACAAGTGAAATTAAGTTCTTATGACGAACACAACTAAGAAGGTCAGCCTGCAATAGAAAGCCACATTTAGTTCAACATAAACATTGATGAGCTCAAGAAAATTTAGTTGGCATTTCTTGCTACAAATATTCATTTTTCTGTGAGTTTATTTTTTTTATATTTCACACAAAGGTACTTCAGTGGATATCATCCTCCAAGGGTGATGGTTTAGAAAGCTAGTGTTGGAGTTATGCAAGTTACCTCAGCTTGGAATTCTTTGTGCCCTTGAACCGAGGACGGAGACAGCATCTTTACAGCAACCTGAGAGTTACCTAAGTAGCCATGGTAAACTGTTCCAAATCCTCCTTTACCAACAACCCTCTCGAAATTATTGGTAATACTCAAAACCTCCGAGTATGTTAATGGTCTATTCGTCACCTCAAAGGACCTATCTTCTAGGTTTATTTCTGCATCCACCTTCTTGACTACTGAGTTCAAATCAAATTCAATTGAGCAGTTTCTTATTACAAAAATTTAGATATTATGTTCTAAGACTAGTAAATGTTTAACTATAAGGATAATGATTCTCATACCTCGTTTTCTTCTTTTAATGATCCACAAAGTAGCCATTATTGCAGTTATTAGTAGCAAACACAGTGCAGCAGCAGATGCGACCACTGGAACAACCATGCTCTTTTTTTTCTTTTTGCATGGAATAGACTGACATGGATTTATGTTTTCACCTTCAATTCCTTCGATACTATTTATGATGAAAAATGTTGGACAATGAGTCCACAAATGCGAATTAATCATTTCTAAATCTATCATAGCTGTAGCTATTTAAAAAGCAGCTGCACAGATGAAGTCAGCTTGGTTTTTAATTTCTCATAGTACTGAAATTAAAAACAGAAAATTGTTCAAATATTCAATTTACTTACGGTATTTATAACTGAGTAAAAAGGATCCAACTTTGGAGAATAATCTTTTGGAGTTCTCAAAAAAAAAAGACATTTGCCATTTGAGTTCTTGGAAACTTTTTTCAGAGGATCAAACCAAACAAATTCTTAATAATTAACTTTGCCTCTGAATACAAATTAACAATTTCCCATGTTCTATTCTCATAGACCTATATATGGTATATGGAGGAAAAAATAAAATATGAATTTTTGTGCTTCATCTTTGGAAATTAATGTTGGTGATTCAGGTTGATAAATTTTGAGAAAAGAGAGAACCTCAATGACAGTGATCCATTCTTCGACCTTGCAACCAGATCTGCTGGAAGTGAACCCGTGAAGTTGTTTCTCTTCAAGTTTCTGCAAAAGAATAGTGAACATGATCCATTGATCCCCCTTTTTTTTTACATCCCAACGGACTTGCAATCTAAGTAACTTACAGGACTTTCAAGAAAGCCAATTGAGAGAGAAAATTAGGCACCTCTCCAGTTAAGCTATTGTTTGACAAATCCCTGAAAGAAGCAAAAGTATAACTTGGGTTATCATTAATTATGAGAAAACAAAAAGAAAAACACTTTAATTTATTATTTCTATAACCAAATAAATAAAAGTTCATTTATTTATTAACAAGTCGACATGTTAACTAGTATTTGCTAGAAGAGACTAACATACTTACAAAAATTGTATCATTGTGAGATTGGATATGTAAGGAGCTATCTCCCCTGTCAATCCACCTGAGGACAAGTTCCTAATTCCAAGTTGAATAATTTAATCAAGAAATGATTAGTGATAAAATCAAGAAAAGTAACTTACCGAAAAAGAAAAAGAAAAAAATCAAGAAAAGTTATATATATGCACTAGTAATTTGAGGCCATAAACATACAAGGATATGATCCTAGGGGAATCGTAACCGTTGTAGCTACAGTTGAGGCCAACCCACACGTAATCTAGCGGGGCACATGGATCTCCTTGCCAGTTTCTTGTCACTTTATAGATTGACTTTATGCTCATCATAGCAGCAACTAATATTTCAAAATGAAAGCATGCATATGACAGAGTTAATTAGAACATGAGGAAGAATGAAAAAAACATCGAAGGTAATTGGAAAGAACATGATTACCATCTTTGTCATCTGTTTGCGAGTATAGAAACTGTTTTACAACATAAATCTCGATGGCATTGATGATGGGAGGGAGATTTGAATTACTGGTCTTACTGATTGAAAGGTCATAATTTGGATAACTCATCAGAGGTGATGTGCTGTATATCGTAGTTGATGATAAATAAACTGGGGAAACAGGTTTTTTATAAACTTGCTTCCCATTCAAGAAAATGTTGAATTCTCTGGTTTGGTTTTCTTGCAACACTTGAACTTCCGCGAAGTATAAGTAGATATAAAATTGGTCTGTGCTACTGTCAGGCTCCCATGAATAGTATAAGGAATCGTTGCTAACATTTGGTGTGATGGCAGAGCTCATGACTTTAGATGGTGGCTGGTACAGACCGTCCGATTCAATTATCGAATCCAATGTTGGGGTACTTAACTTTGTGTAGTTCTGGCTATATGGCCTCCACACGCGATCATAACCATCATCTTTGTATCTGAGAGACATTAGAACCATAGGCATGACCCATGAGCATATATATAAATATATCAAGTACTACAGAAATTCAAATGAAGGAGAAACTTAATTGATTCTTCCTAGCTAGTGACTTTCTAAATTCAGATAGGAAAGACCAACCTGATATTTTCACTGACATAGTCATCTCTTGTTGAACCCAAATCTTGACGCAACCAGAAATCTAGTGGTACATTATTTTCTGTTTCGTACATAGAATTATTCAAAGGCCTTAACTCCAATGCTGAGATGAAAGGTGTTCCATGGCCTGTGTTTACAAGACAAACATTTATATAATCTGCAGTGGGAACATGTATGATCTCCTTCCTCCAAGTAGAGGTTGAATCGTAGATTGTCAGTGTTTTCCAGAAATTAACTCCAATGTGCAGATCGAAAATTGGTGGCTGCTTTTGATCATCATAATTTCCATACAAGAACCACGCTCTTATCAAATATTTATTACCTCTCCCTCCTTGAGGTCTTAGTGTATAACAGTTTCTGGTTCCTTCAGGAAAGCTTCTAACATTCAGAAACTGTTGTCCGCCTGAGTTAGTAAAATATTCAGATGATATAGGCATGCTCAAACCAGTCTCCACAAAGTTTACATCTGAACTATAATGTAGTCCTGTTGTCGTGTCAGTGTAGCTCAAAGCTTCGCGCATCCCACAATCTATGCTTATGAATCCTGCAAGAGATTTGTTGGAGTTAATTTGGAAAAAGAGCAGTGCTATGAACAGTTGCGCAAACGATTAGGGGGAGAGTTAGTGAAACTCGCATACCAACTTTACAGCCACAATTTTCTACTTTAGAAGGTAAGGAAGTATCACTAAGCTACGTCCTTTAGTAGTCTAGAATTGTCTTGTTTTGTTAGATATAAGAAAACCACTTGAAGCTTTGTTTATTTCAACGAATTTTTTTTATGTAGGACGTTTTACAAGTAAAGCCATTTTTTCCCTCCTATTTTCTGTTATTTGATTACAATCGTTAATTAAAATGTTTTTCAAATCCAAGTCTAGAACTGTAACAAATGCAAAATCTATTCGCAGACATTAAAAAGAAATTCAGTTTGACATTTTATCAAACAATTAGCAGTCAATTCAGATGCACACAAAATTCACCAATCATGAGTAAGCAAGAACAATGAACGCCCAAACCCCATAACAAACCATAACCTTTGTTACCAAAATCTCAAACTCCACCATCAATAAGCAAGCACTCTTCACAGGATCTCTCCCTCCCACTAGCTTCGGTTTAGAGATACTTTACAAACTCGATCGATTTTTAAGTTGGAAAAATGGCATAACTTAAGTGAAATTGGATCTTTATGTCATTTTCGGGCAAAAATAACTCCCGTACCATGGATATTGTGCAAAAAAATCAGTATATGGTATAAAATACCCCTCTATTTTTAATTTGGTGCAAAAATACTCCTGTTTACGTAAAAAGACTATAATATCATTTTGTTAGTAAAATAAAATAATACTTAAAAAATAAAATAAGGTAAAATTAACATTTTAGACAAGTACACACGTCTTCCTGATTGGTTAGGTGGCTCAATAGATAAAAACCAAGTGTACAAAAATTTATGTAAGGAAAATACGTCCATCCTCCTTGTTGTCGTGGCCACTTGTTGTTACGCCACATGTCAAAACTAAGAATGGGCAATGCCCATTTTTGCAGGTTAAACCCGCTTCCCCTTGTCATCAGTCTCTTCTCTTTCATTAGCCTCAGCCTTTGCCTTTCCACTCCTTCTTCCACCACCATCTTATGCTTTACCACCATATAGACATAGAAGCTTCCCCTCATCAATTTCTTCAAACTCAAGGCTAGAGTTCTCTTTCTGTTAATCCTATCACTGAAACCTTGCATTTAGAATGTAATGTTAATGTTGATTTTGTTTTGTTAAAATTGAGTGTTCGGTGGCGAAGGTGGCGGTAACGTTCTAACATTCTACGGCAGCGCCCGCGGTGGCGGAGGCAAACCTCTCATCCTCTACATATTGTCTTCGTTGTCTACTTCGATTTTTGGATCCGAATGCTTGAGATAGGATTGGGGATGAATTCGGGCATGGTGGCGATTCGTTGGAGAGGAGGGAGGGGGGAAGATGAGGGGAGGCAGAGGGAGGGTATTGTAGGAGGGTGGTGCAACGGAGGCGAGGAGAGGGGAACCGATGGCGAAGGCTGGGAATTGGGAGGGTTGGACCTCACCGTGGGCATAGTAGAAGAGGGCGGCGATGGTATTCTTGAGAGCTATGGTATAGCCGGAGTGTGTCATTACGAAGGCGTTGAGGATGATGGCAGTGATGTGGTGGGAGAAGGAGTGGAAAGGTGGAGGCTGAGGCCGATGAAAATTTGGGTCTTCTACATTTAGAGAGAGAGAAGAGACTGACAAGGGGAGGCGGGTTTAACTCGCAAAGCCCATTTTTAATATTGGACATATGGCATAACAACATGTGGCCACGTTAGTAGGAAGAAAAAAAATAAAAAAATGCAGAATATGAAAAGAAAGGGGCAAATTAGGGTTTTTTTAAAAAAAAAAAATGGAGAAAGAAAAAATTAGGCTTTTTAAATTTATTTTATGTCAATTTTGACCAAAAAGTTATTAGAGTGTTTTATTTACACTTTTTTTAAATTTTATGGATTGAAATACATATTTTCAAAACAGAGGGACTATTTGTGTACAAAACTTATATCACATGGGGTTTTCTATACTTAATCCTTAGTGAAAATTATTTTACCTTAATATGCAACCGAACACTTGAAAAATACTGTAAATATTTTTGGAACTTCAAAGCAAACGCAGCATATAAATTTGGAATTAGAAAAGAAGTTACCAAAAATATCAAGATACGATTGTAAAAAACAGGGTTGTTAATCATAGAGCATGATAGTAAGTGATGGATCCAAAAATTTTTGTGAGGGAGCGACCTTTTAATTTGTGGAAGCAAACTTATATAGTGGGTGCATTTTGTAATTTTAATGGGAGTTTTCATTTTAATTTTTTAAAAAATTTAAAGTATAAAATGCCAAAAAGAAAAATTAGTGGTGGCAAATTCTTAAAAATTTGATGTAATGTTTAAGTTTATTTTTATTTTTATATATATGTGTGTTAGTGGAGGAACCCACAATTTTGTTTTAAAGTGGTCATTAAGACCACATTTGTGTTTTTGTTTTCTGCTATCTCACTCTCTCTTTCCCAGCTGCCCGCTTCCACCTTCCTCTATGTTTTCTTTTTCCTTTTTCCACTTCAAGGTTTCAATCCTTGATTGCTCCCTCATTTCTTTGTGTTTTTAAGTATCGTTTGAGGCAAAACAAAGCCCGCGACGAGCTCTACGCGCTCATACAAGCAATTTCAGTTTTTGGTCTTCCTAGGGGCTTCGAATTTAAGGACCCATTTTAAGGGTTTTGTGCAATCTTGAGGTAGGGGCCCTTAATTCATGATGTTCTTGCTCTTTTGTGAATTATACTTCCTAAATTGTTGAAAAGCATGCTTATTTTTGAATTAATTGTATTAAAGATGATGTAAGTGTTATATGTGAGGTTATGATTAAATGTGTTACTTGAGTTGTATGAGAACATGTTTATTTGACTAATTTCCTTGTCTGATAAACTGATTTACCATGCTTATATTGTTGTAAAACTTGCTAGAATGATATGGGATGGCATGTGTAATTTCCCTAGAGTACTTGTAATGTATGCACAATTGTATAATGTGAAAGCCTTCACTTCCATGGCATTAAGAACATGATGTACATGCATACCATGAGACATGATTGGGAAGATTGTTTTTGAAATGAAAATAGGGAGTTTTGGGGAAAAGTATTTTGATGAAAGTGTTTTTGGAAAACCCGGTCGCCGCGGGGGTACCAAAGGGCCGGAGTGTTAATATAGCCTAGAGGGGACTAGGGAGTCGCCCTAGCGTGGTTGAGTTAGCTGGGCCCCATAATGACGCCGCGGGGTTACCAAGGGTCAGGGACACTAGCCAATCCTCCTCTCGTGTCGCTGCGGGGTCACCAAAGGGCGGGTTATATTAACAGTTTGAAAGAGATGGATTTTAAATGTGAAAACGGGGAGCGACATCGGCATGCATTCGCATTTCATGGCATTGCATTGTTTGTACTTGAGTTTGATTGGAATGTTGTATTATCCCGATATTGTATGATCCCCATTCCTATTGATCTATTCTTTGTATGGATTCACAAGGACACAAGATGCATGTCTTAAGTGTCACCTACTGAGCATATAGCTCACCCTGCATACTTTTTTTTTTTTTCAGGAAACGGGAAAGAAGTGGCGGATGACTTTTCACCACAGGCCTAATCTGAATTAGAAGACTTCTTTTGCTATTTTTGTATTAAGTCCCTTATTTTTGTAAAATCTTAGTTTGTTATATTTGGTATAGAGATTCGTGAACTCTTCTTGTTATTGTAACTATATTTTGGAACTGTAATTATGATAATTTGGATTAAACGGTATATAGATGTTCCACCATGAGATGAGCCACGTTGAGGTATAATGAACGGATAGATAGGATGTTGGAGTATATTAATTTTATTATGTGTTGGGACAGGTTGTTGAAGGCCCATTTTCAGGGGAGGTTATGCCAATTTTTTTTTTAATTTTTGGCATCAGCTAGGGTCGTTACATTTGAAATATAAAATGCAAAAAAAAAAAAAAAAAAAAAAAAAAAAATGAATCCAGTAAGAACAAATTATAATTTTAGTAAGAGCATTTTTATAAATTCTATAAAATAAAAATATAAAAAATTTAGTTGGGCACCGTGCCCATGGGACCATGCCCGCCACCAGTAATAGTAGGTGATCTGTTGACTTACCAAAAGATTAATAAAAAAGATGTTTAAGGAGAGAAAAAAAAAAATTATATATAGAAGCTTAAGGGAGAAGCCAAAAACAAAAGCCCTATACAACTTTACAAGCAGCGACAGATATTATAAATAAGATTAATATTATTATTATTATTTTGTGTGATTCTAATATAAAAAATATTGTTCATACTTTTATTTGATAATTCAATTAAGTACTTTAATTTTAAATTTATTAAATTAAATCTATTTGATAAAACATTTTAGTTTTCCTAATTCATGATTTCTATATAAATTTACTTTATATAGCTAAATTTGCTAGAGTCCGGTGATATGAAATACCTATATTATTATTTGAACAATGCTTAACTACTCACTCTTATGTGGTCCAATAATAAAATAACATTTCACCTTTAATAATAAAATAATTTACACATTTCTCTACTTTCTCGGATCAACCATAGAATAAATGTATATTGTGTTTTTAGGTGTGGATTCTTTTTATTATTAAATGTGATGTGTTATTTTGTTATTGGATTACATAGGAGTGAATTGTTTCACCGTAAGTAGTTAAGCATTATCCTTACTATATATCCATTTAAAAAACTTCTCAATTAGAGAATTAGAGAATATTATAAATAAACCACGCATCTATTAGTGAGAAAAGTTAGCTTATTTATTACATATATCATTAATAGAATAAATAATCATCAATATATTTGTATATGGATTTAAATAAATAAAAATATATAAAATATATATGTCATGATCTGATATAATTTTATTTAAACTTAATATACACAACGCTCTCAAGACTCTCCTACTCTAAATTTTTTTAGACTTTAATACTTTTACGCTCCCGCTTTTATTTATTTATTATAATTATTTTTTTTTACAAAAGTGATTGTATTTTGTACGAATTTTTACAAAAAATGGCAAACCTCATGAGACACATGGTAGAAGAACGACAAATCTCAAATTTAGTTGAATTAGACCAAACTTCAGAAAAGGTCATTGTAATTACCTTTCTTTTTTCTATTAATTTTAAAATTAAGTAATATAAAACAACACCTTACATAGTAATTAATTACAATAAAACAGAGTCTCTCTCCCTTTCATTTTTATTTTTTTATATTTTTTTTAGAGTAGTACTCTAGAATTTCAATCAAAAATCTTCGCCGATTTATTGGCGAGATATAAAGAAGTATAGATCCCATATCCTCATATTTTACGTATTTAGCTAATCAACAATCTTTGAGTAAATATTTAGGTTAAAATTCCTGGCCTTAATTAAAAACATTTTCCTTCTTTATATCTATACAATTACTTAAATTTGTGGGGAAAAAAAAATCCGGTGCTTGAATTATGAATTCGTTAATAACGTTTTAAATTTATTCAATTATTGCAATTACCACCTTAAAGTCATTTTTCCATTAAAATTTCACCGAAAGAGTTGGTTGTGTGATATTTTATTATTTTTATGATCTTTTTACCCTGAATTCTACAAATTAAATTTGATAAATTACCCCTTCAACCAGTAGGATTTTCAAAATGTCCAACTCACCTTATGTAGTCCTTATATACCAGTGGTATCTGGCTATACATGAAAGAGAGAGAGAGAGAGAGAGAGAGAGAGAGGGAGAGGGAGAAACCTGATTGATCTTGTCCTTGAACCAGCAGCAGGGCAAGAGCTAAACAACCAAAAACTACATACGATACCCCCATTGCTAGATTCTGTGCTTCCCAGAAAAGGAGATCCACTGCAAGCATTGTGAAGAAGCGTCTATATATATATGTCTGTATGTATGCATGTATGTGATGTGATATAATGTCAGGCGGATCAGTTCAATTTTTTTTAACGTACTGTTTGGTAAAGAGTCTAAAGACCAGTTCCAAGTCTCTCATGCATCAACATCTTCTTCATTTTTTTTTAAGGATACGTAATCCATCAACATCTTCATTTCTCCAACTTGATTGTACTGTTACGTCAATTTACAAATATATAGCAGAAGTGATCAGCAGACGTACGACTTGCTTGTACCGTACTT